TATCTATCTATCTATCTATCTATCTATCTATCTATCTATCTATCTATCTATTTAATCTACAAAGAGTGGACTTCTGTTCTAAATTGGAGTTCATGAATAATTTTCAACCCTGTGCCTTCTGACTCTAAAATGCCCTTAATCCAATTTAGAAAATTGCAGTCTCTTAAGTAAATGCACTATTTCCTTAAGACCATATACAGAAAGTTGTCTGTGTAGTTTGGTGTGTTTCTCAGAACAGCTTCTGGCTTTAGCTTAATGTTAACCACAGCAGGAGGAGGAAGTGGCTCAAGTGGCAGGTCTACTTCCATACCGAAGAGGGACACAGCATCAGACTCTTGCTGGCGGCTGTAGGAAAATCTATTGTACATTTCAATACACCAACACAGTTGCTCCTTGACAGTCAAAACAAGAATCTTAGCACCCCAGTAACTTTCCTGGCCTCGGGGACACAGGGTTACAGACCGGACACGCCTCCTTCCGAGTTTTGATCTTTCTGAGCATCAAGTCTATGATGGCTGTTCGTTTTCCTGTGTGTGGCAGTGGTGTGTTCTTTCCTCGTCGGCCATGCTGTTGTCTGAATGTTCACTGCGTATGTACTGGACACTTGGATTATTGTAAAAGAATCTATTGAACATTTGAAGTTATTCTAGGTTTCCAAGTGTTGATTCATTTAAGGATCAAGCCTGCTATAAACATGAGTACTTGTGCTCTGATTGATAAATGCATGAATTCCTTTGGGGAGTCGGCCTCAGTTTAAAAACAAAGTAATGGTCAGTCAGGAGTTGGAAATGTATAATCATGAGGAGCCTCACGTCTTAAGACACCTTTTCTTTCATTTAGGATTAGTCAGACTTTGTTGATTAATATGATGCTCTTGGTTATATAAATGAGCAGAGGTTAGGGTGCATGGAGTGGGTGAGCAGTCAGCCTATTTCTTCCGTGGATAAAGTCAGCTTTAAGCTGTTCTCTACTCAGCTGTGAGCAGCCAGTGCCAACAAGTTAAATGAAGTCCACGTATAGAATATTGCTACCTATGGCTACAATTCCTGTTCACGAAAGGCATTCTCTCACCCGTAGAGAAACAGGGAGCTAGAACCCAAGCCCCAGGCCCAACAGGCTGTAGAGCTGGTTTTATTCCAAGACTGTGTTTCCTGGCAATTCAGAACAGGTGACTGATGTTTCTCTGTGGAGCATGGGACATATGGAAGACATCTTCCTGTGCTTGCTATTTTGCTCAGCACTTCCTGACAAATCATCTCCTCCTGAGAAGAATGAACAGCCTTCAGGATCTGGGCATCACTGCATTGTCTGCTGGGTGGAGTTCCAACAAGGCATGGATCCATGAAAGCATTACTGTTACAGGAATGCCCTACTCTGTTTTCCTTTCACAGTAATTCTCAAAGAGAGGGTGGGATATGGGCCTAGGTGCTCCCATTTGGGAGTAACATTCTGAAGTAAATTAAATGACATCTCCCTTTCTCTTCCAAGTGCTGTGCAAATGTTCCTCAGTCATGGAACTTCTCTCCAAAGAATAGAACCTTCAAATCCTTCTCCGTGAGGAGTCCACCAAACAGCTCCTGAATTACAGTTGGTGTTTGACCTGTTCTGAGGCTTTAGCGTCTAATCCAGCCTTTCTCTTTCTTATATTTTCTAGCAGCTGGGTAATTTCTAAGATTTGGAAAGGATTTTCTGTTTAATTTCTTTTGAATATCCTTTTAGAACTGAATGAAATCTTGCTATCCTCTCAGGAAAGAGAAATTGTGTAAAATTGTCTAAAACCAGTAAAAAAAAAAAAAAGACAATTGTTTTCTTCCTCTCCTTCAAATCAAATGAAGCAGCTGTCTTCTGAGGTGTAATTTATCTATCTCTCCTTGCCTCTCCATGTGGTGCTCTGCACACCCTTTCTTGGTCCATTCCTGCCACTCTTCCATTCCCTACCCCAGGAACAGCAAGGATTTCTCAATCTTCTGAAGTAAAATTTGAAGTCATTAAAAATTAAATAAATTAGGCATCTTCAGAAACTGCATTAGCTATAAAGATAAAAAAATACTCCAGAATTTCCCTCCAGCTTTCTAATGAAGTCTCTTTCTGAATGTTTATAACCCACTTACTTGAGGCACTTTGAACAATAAGAACCCAAAGTGTCAAGAAAAATCCTTCTCGATGCATGTTTAGGCTTCTGCTTCAGACGGTCTCTCTAGACAAAGAATAATAGAAGGTTAAGCTTATGCCCTCAAACAAACGGATCCCATCCTACGAAGGAAGCTTGAAAACACTCCTGGCACATAAACCAAAGCAGACTAGCAATGTTTCATATCTCTTGAAATGGTCCCCAATTCACCAAACTTTTAACCACAAAAAATTGAATAAATTTCAAGGCAACGATTTTAGCTCCCACAAAACATAAATATTTAACACTTTTTTTTTAATACAGTAGGCCTGATGTCTCTCAACCTGATGTACTATTTCTCGCCTTCAGGGTCAAAGTTAAAATCTAGAAAAATGTGTGATCCTACAGATGAAACCATCCATGTCCCATTGAGGTCTGAGCAGCAGCACCACTTGTTCAAAAGTGTGTGAGAGAGAGACAGAGAGAGACAGGACGGGGGTTGGTGGGGGAAGAAAGCTTACTTTGACTCACCGTTTCACAGTTTCAGAGATTTCAGGGAAGTCTCAAAAGTCTGAGAACCGTGTTGTCCTGCTGGTCAGCAGAGCTTGCGCAGCGCCGGGAGCACAGAGCTAGTGTCACTGAGGACGTGTGTGCCCGGAACGTGAGTGGGCACTGGCTCCCCAGCGTGCTCACTGGAAAAGGCAGAAAGTAGTGGGTCCCAGTAACTACTGTCCTCCTTACACTGACTGTGACCCCAGCTCATGGAGCTTTCTGCACTGAACTTTGAACTCAGAGCAGCACAACCTTTACTTTTCTAGTGATGAGCAACAAGAGCAGAATGGAAGAAGGCTCCTCGCAGGTCGAGCCACGCATCAAGTGTAAATATTTCACAAATAATCTCCTGTTTCCTGCTTCCACCCACTGCCTCTAAAGACACAATTCACACAGGACACAGCGGGACACAGACAAAATGATTTCTTTCAGAGGAACACAAAGCTGACTAGAGTCTCAGACTGATAAAGGTCAGGGAGCTGTGGACATTGGACAAATAAAGTAGCTCAAAGATTGCTGGCGCGTTGCCAAAACACAGAGAGTTGGGTGGCCTCCACCAGAATCACTGAGGGAGCAGAGTTTCAAATGCTGATGAATAATGACTTCTGGGCGCCTGGCTGCCTTGAAAGCTAGAGCAATACCCCAACTGCCACCCGCCTCCTGTCCTAACTTGTCAGCCACAGGAGAAGGTTCTCATAAGGAAGCCACCCAAACCACCTACCCGCTTGCAAGAGACGTTACTGAACAGCGTAAAAGCAAAAAGCGTATTTGTTCATGGAAAGTACCAACCATTCCGAGTCAAATTAGAACAGCGCACCTTGAAAGCCCCAGGCGCCACTCTCACAGCTTTCATTACTGCCTCATCTTTCTGTCTTGGGCACAATGAGAAGCGAAGTGCCTGTGCCTTTTCTCCAGTGGAGGCTGTCACAGGCTTGCAAACGGCACCACATGTCCCTTCTTTCTTTTTTCATTTTAAGCTCTAACGAGAAATGAAATTATACAGTTATCCAGATTCTGGCAAGATGCACGTTTTAGTGTGCGGCATCTTTAGATCTCAGCACACAGAATAATACGTGCACACACACAGCGTGTGAGTGGAGGTGAGTGTGGTGCTTTAAGCGTCTGTTGTGCTTCTTAAGCTGTATGTGTAAATTTAAGAACTTGGTGTTTTATTAAGGATCAAATGCCCTTGCAGATGCAGAGCTCCTGTGAGCAGTGGCACTGTGCCCTACCACAGGCCAGCTGGGAAGCGGTGCCAACTAGGAAGCGGTGCCAGCTAGGAAGCGGTGCCAGCTAGGAAGCGGTGCCAGCTAGGAGGCGGTGAGAAGGCAGATGGAGGACAGCGGCATTGCATTTCCTGCGCGCGGGAATTTTAAGAATTGCAGTGTTTTGTTACTGTTGAGTTTTTGTTTTATTTTGTTTTGCTTTGCTTATCTGTAATCTTGAAGTGACTTTCTTTTATATATTTTTTTTAATTTTTAAAGTAATGTTTGCCCAATGTAGAATATTTTGAAAAAGAAGAAAATATTCTTAACATGTACAATATTTTCCTATTCTTCTCGTACTTTTCGTATACAATTTCAGGAATGAAATGATGTCTAATTAGTTTCCTATCTTGTATTTCCTCTTGATATTGTTCCCTGAAGGTTTTCCTACATTACACTTTTCTTTGTTCTTGCTATTTTAATTACTGCCTCGGATTCTTTCATGGGCATGACTGTCTTACAAGATGACTTATGTTATGCAAAACACAAGATTGTCTTCACTCTTGAGACAGCGGGTCTCGGTTTTACAGAGCACAAGCCCAGGCACCAGGCTGGCTACATCTTCCTTCTTTCCTTTCCCAGCTTAGCAAGCAGAGCAAGCCTGGCTGTGCTCCCTTCCTTCATGCTTAGCAGGGAAGAACAGTTCCCCCTCCCTGAGCTGAGAGGGAGGCTGGACATGTTCCTACCAACACATCTAGAGAACAGCAAGCGCCACCTAAGTGTTGGCTATTGCCATCGTTTTCAGCTCTTATAATCGTATCAGTGTTGTGATAAGGTGGGTCAGTGAAGGAGCCAAGGGAGTAAAGAATGCATGCAGCTGGACCACATTCCAAAACAGCAGCTTCAACCTCCCTCAGCAGCCCGACTCTTCCCGCCACCCCCAGCACAGCACGCCCCGCCTCAGATCTAACCAGGCCGCCTGACTGGAGCAGGGCCTCTTCTTTATTTGAAGCAGAGCGAACTTTCTATTATAAAGGAGGCAGATAGTCCCAGAAAACGAGCTGTTTCATTTCATGATTACAACCCTTTAAATAGCGAATGATTCTTTCCTAGTTCTACAATGTCCAGAATCTTATCCAGTTTGTTAGGGTTACTTTTAAGTTTTCTTCTGCCGTGTTAACACACAGAAATGTTTTATGTTGGTGCACTCAAGCCAATACTCTTTTGTATGTGTTCCCATTTTTTGTTTGTTTGTTTCTTGTTTGTTTTTGCTTTTGTTGCTGGGTTTTTGTTTTTTGTTTGTTTATTTGTTTGTCTCTTGTTTTGTTTTGTTTTGTTTTGTTTTTGAGATGTGGTTTCTCTGTGTAGCCCTGGCTGTCCTGGTAGACCAGACTGGCCTCAAACGCAGAGATCTGCCTGCCTTTGCCTCTGGGCTTACAGGCATGGGCCCCTGCTCCTGGCCCATGTTTTTAAATGTAGATCAGTCCTTTTTCTCCCTTGAAGCTAATATAGATGCTTAGCTATATTTTCCTCACTTTTCTGAGAAGTGGCTCATATTTTCCTCATAAAAGTGAGACTTCTTTTTTTTTTTATTTTACATTTGGCTTGTTTTTAAACTTACTTCTTGGTTTTAAACCAAGAAAAGCATTTACTTTTGGTTGCCATGAAAATAGGACCTAATTAAAGTTCCACTTCTAAAATAACGATGGACTATTTCTCTGTCTGGTCAAACAGCCCCACCTTTCCTTTGAAGTTTGTTGATGGCCACTTGCAATGCACAGGCTCTCCTAAGCATCTGCGGAGAATCTAGCACAAGGGCAAAGTGTGTGGGCACAAACGCACCCACCTCCCCTCTGTTCTCACTTTGCTCATCTATCTGTAGCAGTTGCTACTGATGAGCAAGGCCACTTTTGTCTGCTCGTTGATTTATTTGCAGAATTGGTAACGAAACACATCCACAGACTACACAGACGGGAGTCCCGAGTGATCACCCGACTCTTCGCACACCTAAACCATCTTCTGCTGTTCCAACCCTGGCGTCTTCAGACGTTTGTTCTGACAATTGTGATGCCCGGTAAATCCAACACGGGGCCTTTAAAAAGATAAGGAAGGCTGGACTCCACACAGCCGTCGGGGGCTCGTCCGAGCCCTCCACTGACTGCAGTGTGCAAACAGAAGGAATGCCACCAGCCTACAGGACTTGCCTGTGTGCTCAGAAAAATAAATTTCCTATTAGATATATCCACCTCAAGGTTAACGTATTAAGTATGAAATTAACACATGTTCAAGCATGTATCTGGGTGCCCAGGAAACAGAGAACGGTTACCAACTTAATTACCCAATGATACCAAAGTTTCTCTAGATTGAAGTTCTCTTCCATAAAGTTATGTGACCAGGCAGGCGGCAGAGGGTGAAGAGTAGAGGCAAGGTAACCCCGTATCTTGTCCCCCAAGACCAGGATGCACTTCCACAGCGCCCTTTCAGCGTGTCAGCGTGGTCATGTCCTGAGTGCCTGACTCTGACCCTTTCTGGTCCTCCCCATGAGGAAACTGACCTTGTTCTAGCAAAAACAGTTCATCCAAGGGCAAGCCCCTCCTAGCTTTCCAGGGGACCAGGGACCAGAAGCCCGGGAAGCAGCCACGCTCGGGGCAGGAGTTTCCCTGGCTCACAGGTAAACACGTCACCTCCACGGTCAGCCATTCATCAGCAGAGCACAGCCGAGCTGTCCCTAACAGCCTGCCCTGACGGGAGCTAACACAGGAGTTTCTTCCCGTGCCGAGAACTGAAGGCAGGAACCCAACACTGAGCCGGGCTAGCCGTGATTTTTATTTTTTAAAAACACACAATCCTTTCTCTATCTCTCTAACGAGAAGCGTTTTATTTCACCTTCAAAGAGGTGAAACAGTCAGGTGTGACTGGCAAAAGTGACCTTGAATGCATCCATGAGCTTCTGCTGTAAGACAAAGGTGTGGAAATCTGACTTTCCACCGCCGCCTCGAAAGGCTTGTCATAGAAATACCTGCCGCTATTATCTCCACGCTTTCCCCAAGTGTGCCTGCAAAAGTGTGAACACACACGCTCCCCACCCTCCTCTCCTCCAGGGAGCCAGAGTCCCTGCAGTGTGACTCAATCTTTGGCTTCCCCGGATGCTTGTCAATCTAAGCCAACCCCACAGCACTTCCACCCTCCTGGACCAGCCTCTGCTTCCTGCCGAGGTCCCTGGGAGAAGGCTCCCTGGAGGTGAGCACACTATCCCCAAAGCGTGGGTAAATCCAACACACACACACACACACACACACACACACGTCATTAACTGCTGTGATAACTGATTCCACCTGCTAGGGCTTCTCACTTCTGGAAGCCCCTTGATTGAACACAGGATTTTGGAATCAGGAAACTGTAACGTGAATCTCCAATCTATCACCAGATGGATGTTCTTGATAAAGTCCTGAAATTTTCTCTCCCCCCCCCCCCCCCCCGCCCATTGAGCTGGGTGACATTGCCTATTTCATTTGGTTCCTGCTGCCATTAAGCAACCGGAACACAGCGAAAGGAAGCCTTTGCACACTGTCAGCAGAGGTGAGCAATGAGTACAGCGACTGCTGCTGCATTTCAGCCTTTCACACCTCTGTACAGAGAACAGATAAATGTGTAGTCTCACTACTTACACACACGCACGCACGCGCACACACCCTCATCCCTGGCCTTGCCCCTGGGAGTGAGAGGCCAGCCCCTTCCTCCCGCTCCAGGCAGCAGCACACAGTGGAGAAAGGGCGGCAGAGCCTGCCCTTACCTTTAGAGAGGTCCCCAGGGCCGAGCAGCAGTGGTTTCTCCTTCCCTTACATCTGTGAGGCAGAATTCACACCGCAGGTGAGTGACTCCACCCTGCTCACAGCTGTGAAACCAGAAAGGGAAGGAAGGTACAGTGGGTGGCCCAGGAAGGTGACTAGAGAGACCAGGCAATGAGGAGGGCTACGGAAAAAAAAAAAAAAAAAAAAAAAAAAAAAGCCAAGGGTGCGGGGGTGGCAGGGTGGGGAGAGGAAGAGCAGAAAGTATGAAGAAAGGAAACGTGGGCTGCAGGTGAGCACGCCCCGGGTGCCCGGGCTCTCTCAAAAGCAGACCGCCCCGCCCAGGAGCGCGCAGGGTTTGGGGTCTGGGATGCCCTGAGCTCCTGCTGGTTTCTCAGCTCGCCCCAGCTCAGCTCCCCTGCTGCAGCCCTGGGAAAGCCCGAGTTGCTACCCTGCCTCCGCGCTGCTCCAGACCTCCGCCTCCCCGGAGGACTGCCTACCAGCCCGGGCACGGGTGAAGAGCCTGCGGGCACAGCACCCGGCACCCTTCAGGCAGAGGGCGCTGCAAACTCAGGGCTCCTGTCCCTAGGGAGGGCGAGGGCTGCAGAAAAGAGGGAAAGGACGGCCTTAAGACAGCCAGCCCCTCAGAGTCAGCGGAGTCCAGGAGGCTCAGCGTCCCGGCCCGGTGGACGTTCACAACTGGGAAGTAATGGTGAGATTTTAAATTGTTCAAAAGAAGGGGAGGCCAAACAGGACTTCTAGATTGTGATAATGAGCTAGAACTCTTTCCAAGCGTACGTGAAGAGAACGCTCATGGAGTTGATGGCACAGTTCCTTTTGCCCAGTCAAGAATAATTTGCCATATAATAACAAACAGGAAAAACATCGTATTTCTGGGACAGATGGGAAACAAGGGCTTAATAGCCATCAGCACTCACACCACAACAACACACAAACTGGACAGCAGACAGGCTCCTTCCCTTCCCAATAATGACAGACGTCTACACACAGCACGAAGACACGCCTGTTTTCCTGTGGCCAGATCAGGTCAGCTCTCGCCTGAACAAGCGCCTTGAGGAAGTGAAAATGTAAAACAAACAAAACAAAAGCCATAAGGCAGGATAAGGAGAAAGTCCACCGAAGATATTGTTAGGTGGATCATCCTTTGAATCTTTAAAACCAATAAAATAAAAATAAATAAATAAAATTACTACCCTGAATTTAGCAAAAATAGTTCACCACAGAAAAATCATTTTTTCTCTTCCTTCTTTCTTTCCTTTTTTTCTTTCTTTCCTTCTTTTTGTTTTTTTTTTTTGTTTTGTTTTGTTTTGTTTTTTTGTTTTTCAAGACAGGGTTCCTCTGTGTAGGTTTGGCTGTCCTGAAACTCACTTTGTAGACCAGGCTGGCCTTGAACGCACAGAGATCCACCTGCCTCTGTCTCCCGAGTGCTGGAATCAAAGGCTCGTGCCACTGACCACCACCCAGCTCAATTATAGATTTCTGCATTAGTGCTAGAACTGAGGTAGGAAATCTGATAAGGAAGCCAAGTATAACAGGATGAAACAAAATATATATGAAAATGCAAAAAGTTTAGAATTGCCAGAATAATCCTGAAATGAAACAGATAGTAACTTTCTTAGGTAATTTTAGGTAGGTGGAGCAACAGGAATACAGGGACGAAACAGGAGAGAATTTTAGTTTTAGCGGTCTTCATTAAGGTGAGTCACAGGATAAATGAACAGATTCGCCTGGCTCACAATGAGTTTCATATTACAAATATTAGTATTTATTGAATTCTTTCTGAAATCCAAGTACTTCTGTTTTCTGTTAGCACAGGAATCCAGCATGGTATTATGTTTCACGCGACCTAAGAGAAACTACTGTTTGAGGGCACTGGGGAACTGACAGTCCCGGGGCTAGCTACCCAAAGCAAGCCTGCTTCCCGACTGCACGTCCTGGGATGCAGACAGTTCTACACAGCGTGCTTTCAGCAGTTCATAAAAGCAGATGCTGTTAGAGCAATCTTCAGAGGGCAGGTGGATGAGCAAACCATCCAGTACAGCACAGATGTGCAGGCAAACTTCAGTTCCAAATCATCTTCAGCTAAACCTCAGCCTTTAAACTGAACTTGAGCAAACGTTCGCCTGGCCATCCGACTTACAGACAGAGCACGCCGTCCCTTGAAGGGTGGGCTACTCTAGGCCCTTTTCACCTGCATCTGGATAGGAAACCTCTGCAGCCAGAGCTCTGAAGTGTATGTTGACCGTGAGTTCAAGATTGCTCCCCTTTCTAGAGTCTCTCTGCTTTCATTGTCATTTCAGTGTGGAATCCTGTCAACTAAGGCGGGACTCGTGTCTGTCAGCAAGATCAAAGTTCGAGGCACCAGGAAGACACTTGCCGCATCTCTGGGCCCGTTCCCTGGGCACCTGTGACCCCAAGTTTGTGCGCTGTCCCGAAGGAGGCTGTTTGGGGGCCTTTGGCTACAGATTAGCTCTGTTCTGTCCACACTCCCCAGACATTTCATAGAAGTATCACAAAGAGTAAGTTGTCCCACAGCAACAGACACAGTTCTGCGTAGGTAGAGGAGCTGGCATGGCAAGGCAGACTTGCTTCAGCTGGAGTCGGCAGCACACGCCGAGGTGGGACATTCTGAACATTTGTAAAGGTTAAATCTGTGACAGGCCGCAGATTTCCACAGCGGGAAAAAGGGAAAATGCAAAATCCATACAGTACGGTCTCGGATAAGTTGTAATTATAACTTACCAAAATTAACCTTAGGATGACAGAGTTGTGGCTTTTATTATATTTTCTTTCATTTTTATTATTTGTATATTTTATTGTATTTTATTTTATACTTCATGTTTTCTAATATACCTTTATTACTTTTATTGTGAGAAGATATTTCTAAGGAGAATTAAAAAATATAAAGACATTTAGAACTGAAGAACGCTTGATTGCAATGGCAATTTCTATAACTTATTCTAACGAACTTGGCAATATTGACATGGCAGTACTGGGTAAAGGCCCGATAAAAAGAAGAAAGGGATTCTGGCATGCTGGGAATGTGCTTTGCACTGGTGTTCGACCTCTGGAGGACAAGCCAGGGCGCCTTGTTAGCGGGGAGCTTGACGTCTCAAGCCTTCACCCTTCCACCCTCCCACGCCTGCTGCTGGGACACACCAGGTTCCAGCCAGCCGGGTCTGAGACTCAGAAGCGTCTCAGGTCCAACGCCTTGCCAGCCAAAGGCGCCCCGACGGCTGCCGTCTTGGGGGGCCTGCTCGGCACTGGCATTTGGTACCGCACGTGCTTCCAGAATTTGGAGCTCAGAGACTTGTGGGCCACGTGGTCCTCCCTCCACTTGATGGTGCCCTGTGTCTTCACAAGGTGCTGGAGAGAACTCTGGAGGCCCTCCACCTGCAGGCGGCTCGCCTCGCCCGGAGGCGCCATCTCAATCAGGATGGCCTTGGACTCGTTCTGGATGAGGGCACTGTGCAGCGCAACCTCCTGCTCGTAGGCAAACTCCTTGCTGTGCATCATGAGAGGCGCCAGGACGAACACGTGCCGCCTGCTCTTCCGGACGCTGCTTTCCACGGCCGTGGCTGCGTCTGTGGGCGAGAGTTCAGAGTTGGAATCCTGGCTGTTCCGGACATTAAAATAAAAGCCTCTTATTGCTGCAATCTGGCCACCGGCATGTTTAAAGGGTTAACATTTTAACTCATACACCGAAGAGTGCAAACTCAGCAAGCCTTGATCCTCTCAACTGACGAGTGTTACTGGAGAGGTCCCGGGCCACTTCACACACCCACAGTGATCTCTGTTTGGAGGGCCGATTTGACCCATGCTTTAAAAGAAGATCCTGAGAAAAGTCAGATATCCGTTCCAAGTCGGCCTTTGTGCCTTTGCCCAGGCCAAGATGATACAGTTAGCTCTGAGTGGACTCAGAAAAAAAATCTGTGTCCCCCCAGCGCTCACTGCGGAGGGTAAAAGCACACGAAAGATAGGAAGCCGCGGGCAACTCAAGATCTCCCAAGAGAGCAGTGAAAGATTCTGATCAGCCAGAACGAGAAAGCCATGAGAATCGGGGTCAGGCGGAGCCGCGTGTTCCCTGAGGCTTTCCTTCCTGGGTGGAGGGACTTCGGGAGAGGTGGAGGTCAGCCAGCCAGAACACAAGCACAGTAAACAGGCCAGATACCAAGTTCCCCTAAGGCTAGAGCCGTTCTGTTGGCAGCTTTGATGTTACTGGGTGGAGGAAGACCAGAGTTCGTGCATTGAGGGAGGGAAGATGGGAACCATCCTGAAGGGAGCACCACCACCTGACAAAGAGGATTCGAGCCCAATTCGAGCCCAGAGAGCATCTAAGCAAATGAGTGTGGCTGATATGCAAGTGTTAGTAGACATGAGCTGGATGAAGGAGGGAAGGAGAGATGGAGGTCTGGCAGCTAGGAACATCCCCATAGACAAACGGAGATCCTACAGACCCTTGAACAGATTTGAGACACAGAAAGATACTTGTGACCCTTGCCTGCTATTCTCTACCCCTGCAGCAGTCAGTGGGAGAGCTGGAAACAGGGAGGGAGGAGCCCAGGAAGATTAAGAGTGTACCTCTCTAGTGTGCGTCTTCAGGCCTTTTACGACAGTGTCAGCATTGAGCAGAGATTTGAAAAGAACCAGATTGCCCCCTGCCCATGCCTGTCACCTGGTACGTAAATCCCTCTCATCAGGTAGAAATGCCAACTGAAAAAGTTAAAGCAAATCTGGGCTGGAGAGATGGCTCAGAGGTTAAGAGCACTGTCTGCTCTTCCAGAGGTCCTGAGTTCAATTCCCAGCACCCACACCCTGGCTTACAACCATCTACACTGGGATCTGATGCCCTCTTCTGGCATGCAGGTGCACATGCAAATAGAGCACACACATGTAAAAAAATAAACAAATCTTTAAAAAAGTGTGAAAGCAAATCTGAGTGTATTCTGTCCCCATTCTCATTCTAAACCCTTGCTGACTTCTGAGGAATAGAGAAAGAGAGAGAGAGAGAGAGAGAGAGAGAGAGAGAGAGTTGACAGGGAAAGTGAAATAAAAACTGTTGTCCTAAATGTATGGAGGGCAAAAAAAAAAAAGTGCTGACATGGCTGAACTTGTGATAAAACTGTCAAAAGTACAAGATGAACTGAGAATACTAAGAAACAGAAGCCGCTGTTCCACTCCCCTGAGAATACACATTTGCAGACTGTCTCATCAATGTGAGGAAAATCAGTAGGACTTTCCTCAGGTATTTCAAATACCTTTGCTGTAGGCTCTCTGGATATCAGAATCAAATTTTTTTTTTTTTTTTTTTTTGGTTTTCCGTTAGGTCTCCTGGAGATTGAGACTTTTCAGGGATGGCCCTGCCCAACCGCAAAGGATCATGATCTTCTCCCCATTCCCCAGCTCTCAAGACTCCAACCCCTCCCCCCCTCCCTTGGCCAACTCTATCAAACCCATGTCGGGCAGAAACACGGGTGGAGACAGTTACAGAAAACCACAACTGGTCAGAACACAGAGAGCAAGCAAGTGTGGGTGGCAAGCCACAGCCGGTAATCTACTCGCCCAACTCCTCCACCTGAGGCTCAGGGACACCTGGGAAGAGAGGGTGGAGAGACTGTAGAGCCAGAGGCCCAGCTCGGCTGCTGGGAGCATCTGTCTCTAAGAAACCACAGGCAAGCTTCCCCCATGAGGCTTTAGCAATACAGCTACCTAAAAAGGCTGAACAGAAGCCAGGCCAACTAGATATGCTACTGCGGAAGGCAAAACCTCACCTGCAGGCAACTGAGGGATGTCAGGAGAAGGGTCGCTTGGGGTGAGCCATCTAACTGGTCACACAGCACCAGTCAACCCCCAAACCATATACATACAAGGAACACTAAATGGGATGAGCAGGCTGGGGTACTATGTTATGGTGTGTGTGTGTCTGTGTGTGCATGTACAATAATAAAAAAGGGAAAGATATGGTTTAAGGAGCAAGGGGGAGGAGCTGGAAGGAGGGAGGAAACGTGGGAAATGAGGTAATGTTTAATTTTTTAAAGTTTCAGAGTTGTTCTGGAAGAATGCAAAGGAAACAAAGTTGAGGTGATGGCAGCTAGTCACAGGCGAAGCCCCTGACCTGCCATGTTCTGTCACACTGCTGTGAACGGCTCATTGTTAGGACAACCAGGGGCTGAGAAGCACAAGTACGTGATGAGCAGCTCTCCAGGAACGGTCTGAAAGCTGGCCATGGGCCAGCAAGGCGAAGCTGCTGCCACCAGGCCTGGGGGCCTGGACTGGATCCCCAAGAGCCACGTGATAGAAAAAGAGAACTCTGACTGTCAGACGCATGCATAGCATACACAAAATAGGTGTAAGTTAGGAATGTCTCTGGTTTTAGTAAAGCATGCTGGTGCCGGCGGTCATTTCACCATGTGTTAAAGCCAGCCTGCACCACCTGGTGCGTTCCAGGCCAGACAGGGGACCAGGAAAGACTCGGTCTCAAAATAGTCAATCAACCAGTAGCAGATCTCTGGTCTTGAGTCTGAAATGACACTCAATTATTTTTGTTAATGCATATGTTTGACATAAAGTAAATATTCTAAGCTAATATCCCTATTACAACTCATGTTATGAAAATCATAATATCACAACTCATACCATGAAATCACTACACTCTCCAAAACAGAGTGCTAAAATTTAAAATGCAGCATAGGACATGTGTGTTTATAGTTCACCTGATAAATTAGAATGCTAATGTGTAGTGAGAATTTTGGGTTTTTTTTTTTTAAAACCCAGTTCTGTTATGCAAACACGGTTCTGTTTTACTCCCAGGTGTGAGACATGGGGCTGCCTCAGTTTACCCACAGCAGCTGACTATGAATGTCTCCTGCTCCAGGAGGGGCGTGGCCTTTCCCAGCTGCAGATAGCTTACAGTTGGGGCTCTGGGTTAGTGTAATTGGGAGAGCCCCAAGAAGGCCTGAGGCAGCTGCTGCTTCTGCTGCTGCTGCTGTTCCTGCTGCTGCTGCTGCTCCTGCTGCTGCTCCCCTCCTCCTCCTGCTGCTGCTGCTGCTGCTGCTTCTGCTCCTGCTGCTGCTGCTGCTGCTCCTGCTCCTGCTGCTGCTGCTGTTCCTGCTGCTGCTGCTGCTGCTGCTCCTGCTCCTGCTCCTGCTGCTGCTGCTGCTCCTCTCTTGCTGCTCCTGCTGCTATTGCTTACTGTTGCGTTTGCTGGTTTGCTAGTTTGCTGGATATTCTGATGACAAAATTTGGACCTGCCCCTAGAAACCCAAAGCTCCTAATAGGCAGGAGTAGTCTAAAGAGATCTTGGCCCCTGCCCCTCCCTAACCTTTTTCTCTTCTGCATGGTGTTGGGGTGTGGGAAGGAATTAGAGTGGAATAAAGGTTGGAAGGGTGATAGCTGTAAGAACTCACTAAAATAACTAAACAAATACGCCGACACTGATGCAGGCATATAACTCTCACTACACAGTCCCTGTACTTACAGTCTTTTACATTTTAAATAAATGTCAATCTCTGTCTCATGTGTTAGACCTCACAGTGACATTTTGTAACATAGTGTGTTTCTGTGCCCCCCGCCCCCCACTCACGCCCCGGCTTCTCACGGTTTCACACTCTGTGTGGTCTTTCCTCCACGCCATCGCCCACATTCCCTGACATAACCCGTCTGGTCTCCTGTGGAGACGCTCCCTGCTCCTTCACCTTGTCCGGGCAGCACGTCTCTCCCGTAAATGCATAACTTATAGCCGCATTTCTTCTCGAGAACGTCGGGCAGAGTGTGATGAACAAAGCGGTCCACGGAGCTGCTCCCTGCTGCACTGCCCCGGAAGACCCGTGGGTAGATGACGTAGCCATCATAGAGCTTGCCGTCTGGAAGGAATCAGGTAGTACCACTTCACTTGCCAGTCCTCAAGAGATACCGACAGCCCACAGCTATGAAATGTGACCAGGAAACCGAACATTGGTTGGTTGGTTTACCTCTTAGCGTGAGTGACAGAGTCTGAACACTTCAGCTTTGTCTACAAGCTCTTCGTGTTCGTCATCATGGAGGCGCCTTCCACACCTCCTGCCCGTTACACTCTTCCCGTGCAGCCTTCCTCAGTCAGCCACACAGCACAGCTTCGGAAGACCTCCAAATGAATCCCGAAGCCGGGAATAGTACTGCCCCCTCGATTCTACATTGTCTCCTACATACACACAAACACACACACACACTCATACACACACACACACACATCTTCACACACACACACTCACACATACACTCAAAGGACTAGTTTAGAAGCATGGCACAATAAGAGTTTAACAACCATAACTAGTAATAAAGATGGAACTACAGTCGATAAAAAATTGACAGCATCACCACTTTAGCACTTTGTGGCCATAATCTCAAAGGGAAACAACTGTTGCTCTAACACACACTAACACGCACACACAGTAAACCTGTAATTAACACAGTAACTGACTCCCGGAAGCATATACAACATGCTTACACTGAACAAACACACGAATCATGTCCAATCGCCCATCTCAGACTCTTAAAGCTCATTTGTTTCTTTTAGCACTTCCTTAATCTTTTCACACTTCAGCTGACCTTAGGAACTGAAAACCCCAGAAAGCAAGCTCAGGGATGAACAGGAACCACAGCACTTCTTCGGAAAAAGTGCGTGTGCTAAAGGCTCACAGCAGCAGGGAAGCAGAATTTCTTCAGGAGTCTGAATTTCCCCCAGTCAAACCAGCGCCGGCTGACTGATTGCTTCATACGCAGATACCTAGCCTGTTTGCTTTCAGGTGCAGGCTCCAAAGGTCCCCCATCGCCGGAGACCTCTTCCATGTGTAAAGTTTGTACACGTGTGTTCTTAGGGACAAGAATTCGGGGAAAGTTAGCACGTGTTCCGTACCCTCCTTCAGCTGCTCAGAGCAGGATTGTATTGTTGTCCTTTTGTAAAGTTGGATCAAAGCACATCTTCCAAGACATCGAAACCCTGTGGGCCTCAGGCCCAGCCTGTTATGGGGACCCACTAGGAACAGCAGCCCCACCAAGGAGCGTGTGTGTGATGAATGTCTGAAGGGCCAGAGCACAGGGAATGGCAGCAGCATGGACAGCCAACCGCGCAGACTCCAAAATCTCCATGATGAGTTTGCATAGAAAATGGAAATCTGGTTCAGCAGCATGACGTCAGTAGACAAATAACCAGCAGTCACCGGGACTTCTCATGAAAGGAACCCTGAACAGGACACTCACCATTCTGAGTTTTGTATGGTGTCACCATGTCTCTCCAGAAGAGCACAGCATCAATCCAGAACACTTTTAAGACTATCGCCAAGACATTGACAAGCATTAGCAACACACTGCATCCTGCAACTATGTAGTAGGTGCTTTGGTGGTCAACTAGGAGGAGATGGGGAGAGAAGAAAAACTATTGTTAATACCAGCGAAATAAGGCAGAATGGATGGCCGCGTGGATGCTGACATCCCCAGAAACCACAGCTACGCTCACCCAGTAGACCAACATCGAATTCTCAAAATCAACAAATAAGTTTGATTGGCCCCTACTCTGTACAAGTCTTGAGATTTGGTAGCACAGAATGTTGCTAAAGGAGCAGGAGACACACAGACACATGTGAACCTGGACAGGAGGTGAAAGGGACTTGAGCTGGCAGAGGCATCTTGGATGGAGATGGCTCTATGCTTATGTAAGGAAGGCTTCCTATAGACAGCATCACCAGAGGATGAGGGGGACGCAGGAAGAGCCAGAAAAGGCAACACCCCCTGTGCAGAGCGGAAGACGCGGCCATGTGCAGAGGTGGAGGTGTGTTCTGAGAACTATGGTAACTCCGTCTGGGGAGTAGGCGGAAGACGAGGCCAGGGCCATGCGTGGTGTGTCCTCACGCTGGGAGGGTGTGAAAGATGATTACTGTGACGGTCCTGGAAGGCTTGTTTTTATTGGATGGGATGGAATGTTCAACGAATATAATAGGATGAGAATTTGGGGAGACGATAAGGCTTGGAACCCATGAAATAAGATGGGTGGGATTGGCAAGGTCAGAATTTGTTGTCCACACTAGTGAGCATTAGTCAATAGGTCAGGAGGTTTATTGCATCTGAGGGGGAGGGGCATAGAAAAGACCCCCATTGCAGGCCACTGAATATGTGTGCTGGAGAAGTCAAATTGCTGAGTTCTTAGTGCCGGTGCCTGCTGCTGGTGCCTGCTGCTGTTCAGCTATCTCTGAACTTAGTCCCACGTTCCTTATTTCACAAAGCACATGAGCAACATGGCTTCCAACTTTAGGCACTTGTAAGCCACGTCTACAGGTTGAACACGGGAACCGCCACCACTTACGGTGCTCTCGGCAGTTTTAAGTTTACGGTCCTTGTAGACTTATTGAAAGTGGGGCTGCTTACACGTGACCATGAGGAGACTTTCCAGTCTATTTGTAAGTCCCACGCATTGGGGGACTTACATGAAGTCCCCCTATAGGACTTGGTCTAGGACCTCCAAAACCTGGCATGAAACTCTCTGCTAGTGACATGTTCCTCTACATTCCTTGATAGTTCACCATCTCTGTGAACCAAGGAGAAGGAACTCGAGAAAAATCTGGTGCCCCAGAGAAGAAGAAAGAGCTCTCCGATGGCCAGCACTTGCTGTCTTCACTTCCTTAGGTTTAAGTAAGAACTTCCCTAGGAACTCACTCAGAAGCCTTGTCTACACGTCCAGCTGTTTGTGGGCTAGGACGGTATAGGTGGTATAGACGGTGTAGATGGAGTACTTAGAGGAACTGCTGTGGTGAAGTTCCTGTGAGGCCAGACCTGGATCAAGATGTCCCTGAAAAGCTGATGTTCAGCATCTTCCTAATTGCTCATGGTTTTGTTAAACATAAGTGATTTTCACATCAACAACTAGACACAAATGACACAAATGTCATTGTTTATACACAGGAAGCTGTCATCTGTGTCGCATCCTGGGTCTAGAATCACAGCTCTTGGCAAGCCCTTAGCTCACCCTGCCTCACGTCCTCACTTGTAAGTGAAATTAGCAGACAATGTGGGTGTGCCAGTGAGAGGATAAATGGGAAATTCTAAGGAAGGGAATTAGATCTAGCCTGAACATGAAAGCAACGAATATGTGTGTGCACTGTGGTTACCACAGATACAAAATTTGTACCTAACAGTGTTTAGGAATGTGCAGAGGGAGGCTTTTTAAGGTTTTGTTATATAAATTTAAGAAATATCAGAATTTCATAAACAAAAGAATTCATTATGATAATTCAACAACAAATGACAGTTTTTATTGAATATGCTGAGTGGTTGCAACAGTATAAACACATTGAATAATAACAGGTGAATTGAAAATAAACTAAAAGGTACAAAATCACACACCGACAAAACAAATATAAAATCCCATATGACACAAATAAAATTCCAATACAAACATGACTAGAGGATATTCACAAATCCAGACAGAAGATTCTAGCACAGGAGGGGACTAAAGACAAAGGTCACGATAGGTAAGAGTAGGGGTGTGGCTTCCCTTTTCTGGTAGGGTGCTCAGGGAGCACCATCATGCTATGACACAGTGCTGTGGTCTACAGCCATCCTGAGTGACACGGTTACCAGGCGCAGACGCCTGAGACCTTGCTGAACACAGCAGCACTGAAAGTCGCGTATGAGTCACAGCTCTGGTCACCTATGAGTCACGGCTCTGCTATATAAAACATTTACAAGTCAGAGGCCAAAATCAAAGCCAAAGCCAGAAGCTCCGGGCGGGATGAGGTGACACCTAGCGTTAATCCCAGCACCTGGCAACCAAGGCAGATAGAACTCTGTGAGTCCAAAGCCAGACTGGTCTCTAGAGTGAAAACAAAGACAAGAAAAACCCCAAGTGCCATGTCCAGCGGAGAGACAACATGACTGTCAAGTCAGTGCCTCACCTGTCTTTCTACTCAGTGTATTCTCTCAAGCTAGTGCCCGCATATTGCTGGGGCCTCAGAGTCGGCACCTCCCTCCCACACCCTCTCCATGTTTGAAAGAAACTATTCTTTTACATTAGTTGTATTGCCATTGAGGGAGTGGTCAGACCATAAGAGAGGGATAAGGGTAAGACTATGTTCTCTCCACTCTTAAAATGGGATCAAGTCAGGCATCTACCTATCTGGATGACCGCACCTGTGAACTCAGAGACGAGTGAGGAAATTAGTGACTGCTCAGGATGAAGTTCCTAAGTTTTCCACGGCAGGATTACGCGAAGAAGCGCAACATGTTCCTCGCTGCTTTGAACCCGGGCTAAGCACCAGGGTCTGTGACTGAGGAAGCCGCTGCAGGCGAACAGGAGCCAAGAGGGAAGGGAAGGGGAAAGGAAGGGAGAGCATGTGAAGGAAGCTGGAGAGAGGGGGAGGAGTGTGGGGAGAACAAGCAGGAGGGCAGGAGGACACAGAGTCAGAGTCCTCGAGGAAGGCAGAAACATTCTGGGGACACCAGATTTAAGGAGCGTCCTCATGAGACCCGCCAACCGGTCCCACGATCACGATAGATCCCCCACAAACTGCGACACAGTCCTCTGAGAAAACGGCTGAAGTTTACAGTTGATTCAGCCAGTTCAGGGCTGAAGCTGAGGGACAATCCTTACTTGGCTCTTTTCTTCTCAGGCTTATGGGGTGCCTTATCCCGCCGTGAAAGTTCAGGGCCACACACTCATATTCCAGGGAGAAGTCCTTGTCTCTCACACTGGTTATCCTTAACACCGAGGTTAAACAAGCCAGGCCATTGCTGGAACTGAGAGAGCAACACGTTACAATGTCTGATAATGTTTTGCTGCCAGCGCCAGCCATGAGGAGGGAGAAAGGAATGTTTCAACTTCAAGATAGAAATAGCTGGGCATGGGGATTTGTGCCTCTAATTCCATCATTCAAAAAGGAGGAGGAGATCTGTGAATTTGAGGCCAGGCTGTTCTACACAGTGAGTTCCAGGACAGGCAGGGCTACAAAGTAAGACCTTGTCTCGATAGAGAGAGAGAGAGAGATGATAGATAGATAGATAGATAGATAGATAGATAGATAGATAGATAGATAGATAGATAACAGATACAGATATAGATAGATGATAGATATTAGATAGATAAATAGATAATGATAAACAGATAATAAATGACAAATATGTACATAGATGATGGATAAATATTAGATATATTAGATAAATAGGTAATGATAGATAATACATGATAAATACATAGATGACAGATAGATAGATGATAAATGACATACCTATGATTTTGCCCTTCCTCTTCTTGAATTCTTGCATCACTAAAATTTTTAATGTTCCTTTTGTTAATCTGCCACCGGACAACAGCCAAGGACTGAAGGCCTTTGCCAAAGCAAGCTGAGCAGGTGATGTTCACCGCTTTGCCTAGACGAGAAGTGAAGAAATTCACTAGGAAAATTAATTCTGCAAGTAGCACCTAGTTTCACTCAGCCACCCTGCAGCTCTGCCCATGTCCTTCCTCGTCTTCTTCCTGTGCCTTCATTGCTCTCCACCTCCATTTCCTCAGTGTCTCCATTTCCCTCATAGCCCCACCAGCCTCTCACCTCAAGGAACACAGAGCTTGCTCTAGCCTCACATAACCATGTAGAAGTTGCTGCTATTTGAAAGATGAGCTTCTTTTCACTGCCTCTTTCTCTTCCTACAGAATTCCGCTTTCTGTCCACAAGCTACCTCTGGAGATGAAATGGCTTTACCACGGCTAACTATTGTCCCAGATGTAAACATTCACAAAGGGTGCTCTCTGACGCCCCGCCCTTCAACTCCAGGTGTCCTTCCAAAAGTGAAGACGTCAGAGCTGGTTTCAGACTCAGTTACACATTCAACCTTCCCTTCCTGAACCCCGAGCTCCCACCAGGAGCCTGCCTAAAAGTGAGGTGCGTAAGAGGCCCAAAGTCCCAAGAGCCCTGGAATGGCAAGCCCCGGAACGTGGAGAGAGAACAGCAGCCACCACAGTGCAGGTGGAAGTGGCTGTGGCCAAGGCTCTTGTCCTACTGGTACAGTTAGATACTGCTCTTCGGCAAGGAAGAGGGCGGCAGGAAGGATTACACACAGGAAGTTATACGTGATCTTGCTTCCCAGAAACGGGGAACAACAGTGTGGGCAGCATAGGAACGAGTGCAAAGCACACCGCTCGCCAGAGAGTGACAGGCCGAGGCCGGAGTGTGGTTTTACTTTCAGAAGCGCAATGAGAGAGGCATGGCTCGTCATGGTGTTTCCAAAACCGAGCTCTTCACTGTACCCCGCTTCTAACAGACGGCCACAGAGAAGAGACATGGAGATTCATAAACCCGTATTCTCACTCGTTTGCGATCTCTCATCTGTGACCCTGGGTGAGCCTTTGAGCATCTCTGAGCCTATGTTCCTCAAAAGTAAAGCGAGGGCATCAGCCCCCGGGAGGAGCGCTGATAACCACAGATGCCCATGTGAGAGGGCCATCAGCTCCAGGGCTCAGTTCAGGCACAGGGCTGCACTGCTGTCACCTCACGTTTCCTCTACTAATTACATGATCCTTCGATAAAATAAAATAAGACAGATCCAAAATCCTGAGAAACGTTTCTCAGGTCAGCATGGAGTTGTTTAAAATCTCTCACCTATTTCTGCATCCACTGTTGTGTTCTTTGGCGGGGTTGTAATTACTGGAAACATAGAAAAGCCTTTTTCTTAAAATTAGAAACAAAAAAAAAAAATAGCGTGTAAGTATTAAGTGTTGGTTGGCCATCAATATAAGGCTAGTCTTTTCGTATTTCTATTTTATTTCACAGCATCGTGTCAACTTTTTAAAAAATAACCTTTGGCAATGCACACACACACACACACAACTGTTTTCTATAATTACTATGATGCTTTTTGATATCTTCTATTTTTTCTCACACATTAAGACAAATACGGTTCTAACTCACTAAGTGTGTGAGGTAACAATTATTTGAAACCATGATTCTGTAGAATAAGCATGAAAGTACAGAGAAGAGGGTGTCAATAGACTCATGAATATTGAAATCGTAGACTCTGCAATATTGACATCCTATCTGAAAAAAGTTCTTTTCTAAAGAGATGACCTGCTTCGAAGACACTGATGATGACGTCAAGCACTGTAAAGCAGGGCTGGGAACCACTCAGCGGTCTGCATGAAGGCCGCTGTGCCCCGCCACACTCGGGTCTCTTTATCTGTGGCTTCTACATCGACGGGCTCCAGCAGCTACATACGGTCAGGGGGTGTTTCTTTGCTAAATGTGCTGACTTTGTCCTTGTCATGATTCCCTCAGAAGCAGTACACCTGTTTATGGAGTGATTGGTTACCACAGGTGATCTGGAGATGAGGTGGAGTTTAAGGGACTGAGAGAAGATATGAAACTGAGCTATACCAACACTCTGGACATCAATCAAAACCCCGACCTTTGAGCACTTCCCCAGGTGGGAGCGACAGCCTTGCCAGGCCACAGAGGAAGAGGATGCAGGAAGTCCTGATGGGACTTGATAGGCTGGGGTCAGACCATAGAGGAGGAGGGTTTCCTCTTGTGGACTAGGGGTGGGAGATAGGGGGAAAGAAGGAGGAAGGATGGGACCAGGAAGAGATGAGGGAGGGGCTGCAATCGGGATATAAAGTGAATAAATTATATATATTCAGACTGGGCTGTCCTTGAAATTAATCCTCCAAAAAAAAAAAAAACCCCAAAGAAACCAAGAATAGTGATGGCTTTGGTTCAATAACACAATATTTCTCCCTGGAATTCTTAAACCTTCTGCTGCATTAGCAGCTTCCTTCTGTATTCAGAGTATGCGGAAGTTAAAAGGAAGCAGAAGGGAACAGGACATGGGTAGAGGGAGGAAATGCAAGCTAACCTTCCACTGTGAAGGACCTCGTTGCGGACACATTGTAGCTGGTTCCGTTCTCCGTGTGCGTGAATTTGCACGTGTAGTCACCTTCATCATCGCTCCTCACGTCGTCGATGAACAAGTATGACAGGTGCGCCCTGAACCTGGGCTCTCCAAGAGCTTTGCAGTTCTGCAGCAGCAACAAAGACACCCATTTCTCTTCCCCTGACTTCCCCCCCTTTCAGCTACAGCCCTGCAGGTTTCACCAGACACTCCCCGAATTTCAACCCTTTACCTTAAACCACTGCACGGGTGCTGTCAGGTTATAGAGCTCCGTCGTTGGACAGGTTATCTTGGAATTCCTTACTGACCCATGGACTGTCGAGTACATCATATAGTCGGGAAGGCTGCAGCCCGGCGGCTGTTTATATATGGTGACATTCACATACCCAGTCATATTCACTTTGGGACTGTTAAAAAAAAGCCATGCGCTTGAGGAGAGATGCTTATGACCACGAGATCGCCTAATCCAACTCTATCCCTCGCACAATGTTGCTTTTGCAAAAAAAGGGTGCATAACGGTTCTTTTCTAAGTGTGAAATAATCATTAACATCTCAAGATTTAAAGATTTCTTCACCCTTGAGATGAAGCAGAGCTCCGAAAATGGCCTCACACATCTCCGCTCCTGCAATGTTGGGACCCTAACTCAAGTGTACGTTAGGGTTTGCGGAGAGCTCTTCATGGATTACGACATTTACTCTTACAGTGATGTTTCTGGGATCATAATGACACCACTGCATGAACTTACAGGGGAGGCACCAAGACACAGACAAGTAGCTTGATGGTACCACACACCTAACTAGGAGAAGGGCAAGGGCTGGAAACTGTGGTCACCAAACCTAGCACCAAACAGTACCCCGGCTTATCTGACACTGTGGGCACCAGAGATGGTGTGAAATCTGGGCCCACGGCAACTACAGCTCAGACCGAGAGATTTACAGACACAGACCCCACGCCTCTGCCATCTTCCTCTTTGTCTGACATCTACACCTTCAACACAGACCTTTGTGACGCTAAATGTCTGGGCTTCCATTTGGTATACTAGTTTGATCTTACTCCCAGACAGCAGTGAGCAGTTCCTCACTGTTCTGTGGGTCAGCAGAAAGGTTGTGTGTTTTCCTAATCAGGCTGCCAGTTATATATTTAATAGCACATCACCTCTCGGGCTGCTGGTCTTCTCAGCTGCACTTTCTTGTTCAGACCACTTTAGAAAGTTAGCCATTCCACTGAGGGTAGAGCAGAGAAGACAGGGATAGGAAGAGGAGCAGGCATGAGGTTTGTGATGGTTTCCTGAGCATACCTTCTGATAATGCAAGAGTAAACCCCAGAGTCACCCACTCTGGCTGGGAGAAAGTTCAGACGGTCTTTTGAGACAAAGATCCGACTTCTTCTTTGAGTAGGAATACGTTCGTTTGTATCTGAGTAGTACCATTCCACGGGGGAGCCTCTTTTCTGGGGGCAGCTCACAATTAAAGCCTCATCTTCTAGGCCCCAGGACAGTTTGCCTGCAAATAAAAAGTGTGAGCATGATCCTGAGCTGACTGTGAGGGAAGACCACAGTTCTTTTACATAACTTCCTGTTGCTGTTCAGGGTTTGATTTTTTAAAACGTATCATGGATTGCAATGGTTTGAGAAAGAATAAGCCAACAATTGAAGCCTTTACTAACTGTGCCGCGTGGTGTAACAGAATAAACAATCAACTTGAGCTAACGTCTCCCTTCGCTTCTAGGGAAAAGTATCTATATTTGCCTAAACACATTGTCAGTCAATAATGCTTGTAACATCTCCCCCATGCAGGGACAGTGCTGCAGCCTGATTACCATCACTCAAAAGACATGACCTGCTCACTCTAGGGAATTCCTTCTGAGAAATTTACTGTAAAGATGAACGAAGAGGAAATAACTTCCTAGCACACAATTCAGCCCCAAACAACTGGCAGCAAGCAGCTTAAATGGGGCAAAATATTCCCAGAACTACGTAAGTTAAAAAATCATACCACTGGTCTGAGAATCAATACTTACTGCCCTTTGTTACCATGAAGCACATGGGAACTGTCAGGATTGCCAGAGCCCAGAGCCCCATTCTCTGTTGATCAGTTGATTGCTGAGGTCTCTGTGACGGATCAGTGACACGGGGTGGAAATGAAGTGTGCACTAGGGGGCTGAGGAGTGTTGTCTGACTTAAGGTCCAGAAGAGAAACCGATGTAGCTATTGGAAAATAAACCATGTAGAACCATAAGTAAAATACTCATCTTGTCCAGATTCTTAACTCGCTGAAGACCACAAAGGACAATCGACATGTCTGTACTCAGTTCACAGCTTCATGGTAACGGGCTTCAGGTATTCAGTGCTGCATTCATCCCCCTGAACTGGACCCACACAGCAGTCTTCACAATGACAGGATTTTTTTCACAATTATATCTTACCAGTCGATTGAGAATTTTCCAAAGAAGCTAAATTAAGAGGAAAGAAAATATTTTCACATTTGAAAAAATTAGAACCGTAACATCGAGTAGATGCTGGAAAACACGATGTCATGCAAAAAGCACAGCCATGTAGCAGACAGGAGGCAGCACACACACGTCTGCTGTTTTACACTCCAGCACACGCAGATCGCCACCACGGTAGAACTAAGGAAGGAAAACTTTGAACTAAAACGTCAGCCAAGAGGACACCCAAGACTGCTCCGCCAACTTTCAAAGAACTGTCGCTGCTGAGGCTTGTTCTCCAGAGCCAAAGAAGTTTGCCAAGGTCTGAGAACAACAAATAAACCCCCTTTAAAAAAAGAATCAATTATTGTAGCTTTTTCCTTCAACCCTCAGGGGAGGGATACAGAAATCCCACAGGTGGGAATAAATATGAAAATCTTAGTAGTTTCAAGAGAGCACATTTCTTTGAATTGAGGGTACTTTTTCTTCTACGGACTTCAAGTACTTATTGATTCTTACCCCAGGTGAAGGGCTGGAGAGAAAAAGCACAGGACAGTGAGACTGTTTCCAGCCCCTGAAGGTCCTTTGCCGGTTTCTGTGTTTCTGTAGACAGCCCATGTGGACACGCTCCCGCTTTCATTTTAAACAGGCAGGCGTCTTGTAATCTCTGACCCCACCCACCATGAAAATTGAGTTTTAGCCAAAATCCATGACTTGTTCCAAAAGGCTGCTGTGTCACTTACTAAGAATTCCTGAGCTTACCACATAAATATTTAACCATAAGGACAACGTTTATGATCAATTTCAGGAGAATTGATTAAATCACACCCCCTCCCCGTGTTTGCAGGGCTGTTCCTGCTGAGACAAACAACGCTGTTTATCTCCTCAATGTCATAATTCCCAGTTCCAAAGGAAACACACACACACACACACACCAGGCTGGCTTCAGCTACCCCCTGACATGACCTCTGGCCGACACTGGCCAGTGGGAGCACAGTCAGTGTTTGCAGTGTAGGGAGTTTCATACATCGTAATAGTGGGAGGGTGGGGGAGGAGAATGAGCCCTGCAGGAGGCCTTTAAGCTTGGTGGGTGCTTAGAAACATCCTGCAATGGAGACACTGCCCAGGCCAAAGCATAGTCCAGCACCTCAGATTCAGTTGATGACTCTCAGCTGGGATGAAAGTAACCGAGCTTTTTCAAAGAAGCCTTCATCTTTTGGGGGCTTCACATAAAGCAGATATTAATGGTCGAGGTTGGTTTTTACTGCACAGCATTGTCATGACTCTATCATGGGGTTTGATGTCTTCACACGAAGGGAGGATTGCAGGACCACCCCCAGACCAGCACCAGTAGAAAAAGAACTGGGATCTTTACACAGAATCTCTCTTGCCTTATGCAGCAGTGGGTAGCTCACCCATACCTGCTCTTCCTCCCCAGCGTCCACCACTGCCACAGTGTCCATCACTGCACAAGTGATGACCCGGACGTCCAGACAGGGTGCACACAACAGGACACTAAGACTAGTAGAACCCAAGCAGGCTGGCTGAGAAGACTAGCTACCAAATCACACTCGGCCAGGGGCAGAAAGCCACGCGTGGAGGTGCTGCTAGCTAAGAATGCGGCGTGAGCCGTCCCCCATCGCACCTTGTAGAGGTGTTCTAGAACTGCTCTGACCTCCCTTCTCTGTCCAAGGCTTTGTCGGCTTGTGGGCAGTGGTGACCGTCTATAAGGCAGAAACACCAAGCCCTTGTTGGCTGGGAGATTGACCCTGAGCTGCTTCTTGCTACTCTTGACTCTTATTGGCAGAACCCCATCAGGAGTCCGGGCAGAACTCGGGACTGCATTATCTGGTATCATTAGCATCCGCCTGCTCACATAACTTAACCAAGCTCACTCAGTTGTGGCAGGGGATAAAAACCAAGTTGTTGGAGCAAGAAAAGGTGCGTTCTTTGTTTCTCCTTGGGTCAACTAAAAAAAAGAGAGACCAATTGTCATGCTCAAAATCTTTCTCTTCTCACCATGACTGAGTTATTAAAATAAAATGTTTCCATTAACCAGGTCCTTCAAGAAGCAATAAGCCATTTAGCCTCAGTTTTTATTTGTAGATGTAGAATGGAGCTGTTAGAGAATATACAGAACACAGCAACGTGAGGTACACACTAGCAAGGAAGGCCTGAAGCCTACCACAGAGGGCCTCTGAAAGACTCTACCCAGCAGGGTATCAAAGTAGATGCTGAGACCCACAGCCAAACTTTGGGCAGAGTGCAGGGAATGTTATAAAAGAAGGGGGAGACGGAAAGACCTGCAGGAGACAGGGCCTCCATAAGGGGAGCAACAGAACCAAAATATCTGGGCCCAGGGGTCTTTTCTGAGACTGATACTACAACCAAGGACCATGCATGGAGACAACATAGAACCCCTGCACACATGTGGCCCATGGCATCTCAGTCTCTAAGTAGGTTACCTAGTAAGGGGAACAGGGACTGTCTCTGACATGAACTCAGTGGCTGGCTCTTTGATCATCTCCCCCTGAGGGGGAAGCAGAATTACCAGGCCACAGGGAAAGACAATGCAGACAGTCATGATGAGAACTGATAGACTAGGATCAGAGGGAAGGGGAGGAGGACCTTCCTATCAGTGGACTGGGAGAGGGGTATGGGAGGAGAAGAGGAAGGGAGGGTGGGATTGGGAGGGAATGAGGGAGGAGACTACAGCTGAAATACAAAGTGAATAAAGTGTAATTAATAAAAAAATTAAAAAATAAGAAAACAAGGAAGGCCTCAATCACGGGCATGTTTTGTAACAGGATGTGATGCAAAGCTTATTCATTTGATTTGCCCAACACTGCAGCTAAGTATAAACTACAAATGCTGTGAATCCTCCTGAGCTGGCTGCCTGTGCCCTGATCTCATCTCACCCACCATGGGAGTTAGGAACTATTTTGTCACGTTAAGAGCATACAAACATGAGCAATTCCGTGACTTTCAGGAGATCTTAGAACAATGAAAGAATTGATTACTTTGCCCTCCCATAGGGCAATATTTTTCTCTTTGATTTTTTTGTTATTTCAGCTTCTTTATCACAGCAAAAAAATATACTAAGATAGCAAGTATGAGGCAAAGACAGGCTACTAATTATGTCTGTCTGATATTAAGGAACGTTTTATTGTCTTTTACTTTTCTTTTTCTCTTTTCCTAATGAAATTGTGTGTGGAGACGGCAGCAGTCACAGGCAGGCCTCACTCAGCCTGTCCTCACGGGCACATTCTCTCCTGGATCCCTGATTCACCTTCTCCAGGGCACTCAAGCTTTGTCGCTCTCTGCTGTCCCTTCTGCTCCAGCAACCAGAACAAGTGGAAAGATTAAAGCCTTCCTACCTGCACAGCCTACTCCCTGGTCCTCTAGCCTTGTCACGTGCACGCACGCACACACACACACACACACACACACACACACACACACACACCGCCTCGAGAGCTGGCTTCTCCACAGCCTTTCCTGCACCCATCGAGAGCGCAGGGAATCGGCTCAGAGCGAAAGTCCTCATGCCCGTTCCACCGTGCACCCACACCTAGCAGAGAGTCCACCCACGAGGGCGAGTGGTCTCACCTGTGAACCCTGTCTGCCTGTGGTGTCCCCCACCTCCGCCCTCATCTCTCACAGCATATCCTTCTACCTGCGGGAGTTTTCTGGAGCCTCATCAGTCTTCTGAAGGCGCTGAGCCCGGAGAAGCCCTAAGCATCTACTTAAGCGAGAGGAGAGGCCAAAGCCCTAGAAGACCATGTGTACTCCTCGGTAGGAAGCTGCCGCTCGACTCTGCAGCCCTGTGTCTTTCTGTCCTTCCCACTAACTGAAGGGACAAGGCAGACTGCACTGTGCCTGTTGCTCTGTTCTCCCGCCACCTCATCGCAGCTGCTCGTGGACTAACTCTTCTCCTCCACCCCAGGTCTAACACAGCCCTTCTCACCAGGGCTCAGTGCCCTGGAGTGCCTTCTGCTGTTGCTCTGCACCGAAGCGCCCTGTGGGTAGGGAAGGCCCTGTTTGGCTCACAGGTCACACTCCATCACTGAAGGAAGCCACAGAAGGAGCCAAGACGAGGACTGAGAGCTGAACCGGAGAGGAATGAGATCAGATCGCTGCTCACGGCCTCTCTTTCCCCCCTCAGCTACCTCTCACAGAGCCCAGACCCTGTGCCAGGGGAAAGCGCTGGCCCGGGTGAGTTGGGGCCTCTTGCATCAAATAGCAATTAAAATAACCCACGGGCCAGTCTGATGGAGGCAGTTTCCTCGCTGAAGTTCGCTCTTCCCAGCTGACTCTAGTTTGTATCAAGAGGATAAAAACCAGCCGGCACACCTGGGGACTCGTTTTCTTCCTTCTCTCCTTCCTTCCTTCCTTCCTTCCTTCCTTCCTTCCTTCCTTCCTTCCTTCCTTCGTTTATTTATTTTGCTTCTAGCTTTCTTGTAAATGTATTTATTATATGGACATGTGCCAGAAGCGTGAATGCCGTGAAACATGCACAGCAACCACGGAACAGCTCACGGAAGTTTCCCTTCCTCCACCATGTGGACGCTAGGGGTCAAGGTCAGGTTGCCCGACACGGCACCTAGCGCCCTTACTACCTCACCAGTGATAACATTTAACTCTTCATTTTCTTTTCTCTTGTTGCTCTTGACTCTGAGGTAGACACGCATACGATGAAATGAAGCACCTCAAAGTGTACAACTCCCTGACAGTCCTTTCACAGCGTTGAACAATTGCCAACAACAACTGCAAATTCTCTTCTTTGCCTCCATACTAGACCTGGGTAACCGTCTCTCCCTGTTACCCCTCCTGGGCGTCCCAACCTAACCCTTTCTGTGTCTGAAAGGTTTGCCCTGTCTGAATGTTTAGTATCAGCAGAGTGATACAATATAGCCTCTTGCGTCTGGTTTCTTTCCTTTAACAGGATGTTTCAGGGTTCCTCCTCAATGAGCATGGGCCAGCAGTCATTCCTTTCAATGGGGAAATAAATTAACTGGG